AGCTGGCGGAGGCGGGTACTCATCTTGCGCTTGGCAGCGTCGCCTCGCATGTGCTTGGCGGCACACGGCGCCGGAGATGTGGTCAAGTCTGTCGGTAGCATGTGCGCCAGTACCGAAAATTGCGGGTCTGCATAGGGCGTTTCTGAACCGAAGGATCTCCGCCGAAGGTTGAAGCGCTGGCAACGGGCCTGTCTGTTGAATCACTTTGCATTTCGGGTTGGAGTGCTCAATATTGGACGTGATTGGCTACTTTTCGTGTGCAAGGCGTTTTGATCGGCCAAATTGCATTGAACGATGCGTTGATCACACGCCATCACAAGTTTCTCACGTGAAAAAACGTGAAAAGGCCAACGACTTGCGGGAACGACGCAGTGGCGAGTCGGAATGTCCATCCCTCACGTTCCTTTTGGAAGGGGTTCCTAATACTGTACAATTGGTTGAAAAGGGCGCCACGGGCGAACGTTCGACGAAAGAGAAGAGGAATGGCTTTAGCTTGTACATATATACTAGTATACTCAACATGTGCTTGCACGTAGCCCTCAGCTTGACGTACCGGCCAAACCTCACGAGCGCTCTAGGAAGTCCACAATCTTCACTATATAATTGCATGTTAATAACTCATTTCAACAACATGTGCTTGCACGTCTCTTGATGACATGTTCGAACCGCAGCTCACCCACCATCTGTCGCCTTGTCTCGACATTTCATGTGGGATCTCGCCAAATCCGATGGCGCATATACCGGCACTCGTGAAACCTGACAAGAGCGCATCACCCGACGCGCGTGACCCGACACGTACCGCTCGAACTCTCGCTTGACGCATCAGTCATGCCTCATGTTCATCTTTATATTTATCAGTGCATGTCAATAACTCCTTAGAACCCCTTGATGGTTTTGGAAAGCGAAGAAAGGACAACACGACAAGGCTCGAACCCCGTATCTCCTGCGTATGAAGCAGTATGATCCCCATTCTTGACACAGTTTTCAGCCCCGATGGTCGCCCGCCACTGCCCCTCTGCAAGCCCGCGAAACTTACGACCAAGAGCCATAATTACATAGGGGACGAAACGACATTCGATGAAAAACCACCCTGCCCATACATTTCCGGACTTGGTGCATTTCATTGGGGCCGCTTGCTATATGCACGAGCTCGACCGCTGGTACAGACATGAAATATTCCACTCTCTAGGAGGCTGTCTCCGCGAGCTCGTGCCAGCCTGCAGTCCACGGCAAAATGCTCGGTCGCTTGAACCCAAGTTCGCCCTCGTGAAGCACGACGCCGCAAGGTTCGGTATGTCTTCTTACTCAAGCCTATGGATGGAGCATCGATGTGATGCTTATTTGGTACCGAAGTACGTTCGTGATGCTGCTTGTTGGCCGGATACAAATGGTGTCATGCAGTGTCTGGTGGGCCCAAAAATACAGGGATACTGGTGTGGCGTTTCCCTCGATCTAATTTGCCTAAATCTATCCAAAAGAATTGCGACGGAGAGCGAGATAGCGGAAACGGGTAGAGATGCTCCAAGATTCCAATTACATACGCATGGACGCGTTATTTCATGGTCCTCCCTTGTGATTGAATGTTGTCAACTCGAGGCTCGGGCCTCCCTCCACCTCTCTCGTGGTTTGTAAAGCCGAATGCGCCACAACGGCCACGGGTATCGGTGCCGTCCGAGATGACCACTTCGCCTGCTTCCAAGATTCCGCTTCGTCTGCTCACCACTTTCCTAGTTGCCATCCCTTCCCCCTCTTTGCTTGGGACTGGGCTCACGAGAACGACCACCACGAACGTACGGTTCGTCTCGTGTGTACTGGGTGGGCAAAGGAGGCTACGAGCTACGGTCTTGAGAGCCCAACGCTGTCCTTGCAGACGCAGTGTGGACCGAGAAGTGCGACTGATACGAAACGTGCTGTGTTTGGCTACGCTCTTGATGCGATGGGAAATCATTCGAATCAACCGCAGGGAACGATTTCAGTTTGCATTCATTCTTCAACCGAGACATTATGAGGTCCGATCCGTCAAACTGCCCACGTCTGCAAGGCCCACGTATCGGGTGTTTGACAACTACGGTCTCTCTCATCCGTCATCAACATGTATCGAGCAAGGAAAGCTTGACCCTCGCTTGCTTGTTGGTTGGTCGAGGCACCAGTCACGAGGATTTTGAGCAAACTGGGCATCAAGAAAAAACAATCAATCGCATCGTCCTGCGATCCTCCCACATGCAATTCAACGTTCGTCACCCAGCAGTTGCGCGCGAGTAATCAACGCACCCGTAGATTGAGCGAGACGAGATTGGTGGGCTTGGCCGCGCGTTACGATTCGTGCTTACTCGTGTCGGCCAAGCCCGGTGCCGCCCACGCTAGCCACGTCATTCACGAGATGTGGTCGAGCCTAATTCAAGTAGCCTTTCGATCAACTCGGAGCTCAGGGCGACTCTCTCGAACCGCTCGCGTCGGTTTTTCGAACCTGCTTGGACCAAGATTGCACTCGAGAAGAAAAAATTGTTGTCGACGCACGTGCGCCCTTCGCGATGGACTCGACGCGGGACAACAACCCTGCCAAAGTGTTGCGCCGACGCCCCCAAGTCCGCATCAACCAGCAACGCTACCGTCTCAAACAGCAAGACGCCAACGCCGCCCGCGTGCGCGAGGTCCTGGAGCTAAACCGGGACGTTGCGCGATGCCAAGGCCGCATTCAAGCGCTCGAACGCAGTCTTTTGCGCATGCACGAGCCCGAGGTCCACGTCGTGCTCGAGTACTGCCGCCTTTTTCACACGGGGTACGCTCCGCACTTGCCGCTTCTGCACAAGCAGCAAAGAGCGTTTGTGAGTGCCGTGGCCATGCCCAATATGCTCTTCCAAGGCGAGGTAGATGACATAGCTCTACTGTATGCTCTCAGAGTTTTTGTAGAAGCGGGTTGAAAAGCTATGGGAACAGTGGCATATTTCCCACGCACTCTTCTCGACCTTTGAGTTGGAGCCACCGGCCATTGACAGCATCAGTTTGGATGCGACGACCGTGCTCCGCGTCTCGACGACGCTCCATTTGGGCTTGACGTGGCAGTCGATTACGGCGCTCTTTCCCCACGCACTCGACCAGCCCAACCTTGCCGAGCGGCTCGTGGGACATGTCTTGAAGCTACCGGTCGTGGCCTTTGTGCACTTTGACGACGCGTGGTTCAGCTGGATACAATGGCGGCGACGCCCGTCGCAATGGCCGACCTCTTGGGCAGCCTTGACGACGCAGTGACGGCTCTACTCGATAGCCGCCTCTTGGAAAACGCTGAACTCGACGTACGCCTCGACGACTTCAAGTAAATGCTTTCCAAAAAGTCGGTCGGTCATTTGTTGGGGTTAGGGTTGGTGACGGGTGCATTGTCGGTAATACACGCTCACAACGGGGTGTCGTTGGTGACACCGAGTTTACGCACCCCAATGCCAAAACTAATGCAATGGGTCTCTCGTCTCCGAGGCCAATTTCAACAAAATGTTGGGTCAACCACGGCATTTTCAAGTCGTCCTTGGTTTCATCCGTATTGGCAGGCAGTGGCGATTCTGCCCCCCCAAGATGTCTATGGTGCAACGAGAGCCACATGTACATGGCGGAAACAATTTGACGATAGTCCTCGCGTGGATGGGCGACATTTGATCCCAATTAATCCGTGTAATAAATTTTCGTCAATCACGGCGAGCGCAAATCCGAAAAAAAACAGGAATACTAGTAGATGTTTCTCGTTATTCTGCTCACAAAACGAGGCCTCATAGCTCATAAATATTTAGATGGATTGTCGAGGGCAAATCTTTGCTTGTAGATAGAGAGAGAGCTTCGTCGATGCCGGGCAATGTGTTTCGGGAGATTCAAGCGATCCGTTAGTATCAAAATCAGAGCGCGACCACGCATCCACGTGTATCTTTGAGAGGAGCTACAGGCGAGCTGCGCAAAGGGCCCAAAAGTTGGCGCAACAAAAAAATTTCAACACTACTACATCTGCAAACGCGGATAGGTGGCCGTTTCCTCGACGTTCTCACTCTTTTCCGACCAGCTTTGAGTTTGCTCGCGGACGAACAAAGTCATTGCTGCCCCACGGACGAGCAGGTAGCGTGTACAGTGTATAACCCAAAGGGTCTTGAGCGATACGCAGGACCGAGGCTGCACACGTCGTTGTTGAGGAGCGATAAATGGTTGATGCTCGGATTTGAAACGGTTCACGCACCAGTACAAATATGCGAGCCAATCCACGTCGAGCTCCTTCTTCTTCGATAGAGTGTTGTGCGCAGGATGTAGAAGGAGGTATTAACATGCAACTTGAACGATATTGACTGCCGCATGCGCTCGAGCCGCTGCATCCAGCGAGGAGCGTTCGTGCTCGTGCTGCGGGAAAGCGCGACGATCAAGAAGCGCGCACACCAAACATTGTGTGTTGGGCTCTTGGTTCACGCTGGGGTTGCCGCTCGTGCAACCGAAACGATCGTTGTGACGTTGCTGTTTTCGCTGTTAAAATATGTTGAAATATAGGATCAAGGTGCACTTGACCGTTTCTCAAACGACAATCCGCATCGAGTCTCTCACGCAATGTTCACTTCGACGCCCTCGACACGCGAACGCATGCCCACGCGAATGCCGCCCAAGGCCAAGCCCAGTCAACAGCGGTACCGTACGCAGAAGCGGCAGAAGCTTGAACGCCTCGAGCACGACGTCCAGCAGCTCCAGCGGCACATCGCGCGCTGCGAAGGCCAGCTCGAGGTCTTGCGCACATCCGTGTGTTCGCACGACGGTCCTCTCCGCACCGCGGCCGATTTCTTCTCGCACTTTCGCCACGGGTACCAGGTCCACCGACCGGACTTGAGGCAGCAACAAGACGCGTTCCTCTGCAGCGTCATGCAGCCCGACTTGCTCATTATGAACGAGGTATGCGTTGTCACATTCCAATTCCAAATGGTATAGTATGGCAACTAGAGAAGTCTCGAGAAGCTCTTTGCCCAGTGGCGGCTCTACTACCACCTCTTTCCGGCGTTTGAGATGGAGATATTGGCGCTCGACGTGCTCGTCTGCGACGAGACGCGTCTCGTGCGCGCGCCAGTGACGCTGCACTTGCATCTCTCTCGCTGTTCCTCTGCAGCGTCATGCAGCCCGACTTGCTCATTATGAACGAGGTATGCGTTGTCACATTCCAATTCCAAATGGTATAGTATGGCAACTAGAGAAGTCTCGAGAAGCTTTTTGCCCAGTGGCAGCTCTACTACCACCTCTTTCCGGCGTTTGAGATGGAGATATTGGCGCTCGACGTGCTCGTCTGCGATGAGACGCGTCTCGTGCGCGCGCCGGTGACGCTTCACCTGCGTCTCTCTCGCTACTCGCTGCAGTGTCTCTGCCCGCACATTTTGCAGGACGAGTGGCTCGTCCAGCGTTTGGTGGGCCAAGTGCTCTCGGTGCCAACGATGATTCATTTTCATTTTCGAAGCGACGGTGCGATCGACCAAATGGAGACAGCGACCGACATCGCGGCGGCGCTCGTCAGCCTTTTGGGCAGCACGGACGAGGCACTTGTCGTGGCGGACGGCGCGCAGATGAACTCAAGCGGCGAGCTCACGCAGGTGCAGCGCGGTGCGAACCTTCTCCACCCGACTGGCATACCCGAGGATCACTCGGTAGACTGTTGCTGCCAGGCTTTGTATGGGCATTTGCCAAGCAGTGGAATCCATAAATGAACGCGCACTGTGCGGGCTCTTTGTGATGTGGCGGTGTCAACTGGTATCGAATGGACGCAAGACGCGTCTGCAAGCGTTTTGTTCACATCTGACGCTCCTCGTACGCGTTCGATGCAGTGTCCATTGCTGAAGTGCGTTCGTGAAGTGGTGAAGTTGGATCAAAAGGCAATGTCCGCGGTAGCTTGCTCGCAAAGTTGATCAAGCAAAGGTACTACATCAAAGAGCTGCACAAGCAGCATACACTGCGGTGACACCTGAACACACCTTACACAGGATACAGCCCGAGCTGGATGTGCAAAGGTTGGCGATGTTATGGGCGCTCATTGAATGCATCAGGCGAGGGGAGCGACGATGAGACGGTCATTGCAAGGTGCATCCACCACCGACGGGGCGGTTGCGAATGGAGGCCCTCGCCGAAAGGCAAAACTGCAAGTACGAGCATTTCACGACGCTAACCCTAACCCACTCACATAGGTGGCGCTGGGAGAGCTTCGATTTGAACGACGAGGGTGTTGAGCAGAATGCAGTACGAAGATCAAACTTGAATAACCAGCAAGGAAATAATGTATGTCGCCAAAACATCGATCTAGTTGCGATCCGCGCAGTTCATGCCACTCGGTAGTCGAAAGGTGCTAGCCCTCGGTGTACTAGAGCATGGTACGGTGGGTCATGACCAGCGACGTGCAAGTCAAGAAGCGCGAGATCATAGCGAGCGAGGTGACCACTGGTGTGCGGGAGGGCGGGCCTTTCCATCCGAGACGCGACCGCGGGACTTTTTTTCTAAAGCGGAGACAATCATCCGCGGCATCTACAGTTGGAGGCTACATTGATAAGCGCAACGCCTCGACGAAAGCCAGACTTGTCACTTGAAGCACGGAACGTTTGATAATCAAAGCCAAGTCCTATTTGGCAAATGGTTAGTGCATCTTGAGTTGTTGTGGATGGAGCATGCATCGACGTACGTGAGCGCGAGTACAGTGTTTGGAGGGCACCCGTCATCTGGTGCTGATTGGCCCACAGATTGCTTCCAGAATGAACTCAGAAGCTGTGCGCTTGATTTGGCCACGAATGGACTGCAGAACTAACACAAACGTTTGGTCGTGGCGAAATTGTAGCGAAAAATCTGGGACCACCGAGGCCCTGAGTGGTTTAGTTGGCTTGAGCGGTGTCTTGCCCATGCATGGTCTCGTTGACCTTGGTCGGCTTTGTGTGATCACGCATAGTCTTGATCTTGAAGCATGCTAAACGACAAAGTTTGCATATCGTCGCCGTGCGACACGAGCATGTTCGTGAATACTTTGACGTCTACCTTGATCGAGCGGATACGTCGCGAGTCACTGGTGACGCCGCAGTCGCCTTTCTTATGCAGAGATTCGTCATTCTGGGCCTTGTCTCGAGCGTCCAGGTATCGCGGTAGTAGCCGTCGGACGATGGGTGAACATAAGCGTAAGAACTTGTTGCCGTTGTGAGCAGCCCGGTGCGGATCTATGCGACGCATCTTGTTATTTTAGATCAACCGATCTAAAATAACCGGATATATTCGGATGCGGGCTCGGACGGTTTCGTTTGAAACACACCCGACGGCTTGCACTCCTCTGTCGGATGGTCCGAGTACAGGAGCCTGCGTACGACCTCGCGCGAGCTATGACTCGGCGAGTGGGGTCCACCACGGGATGGATCTCTCAGTACGCAGCTCACTCCCAACGACCAAGTGCTGGTGCCAACTCCCACGCATTCAGGCGTAGCGCTACGTATGCGAAGTCTTTGTGTCATGATGAAGATAACGCGGAACACGCTCATATATATATATACAACCGATTCCTTTGGCCGGTTTCCCACTGTTTGCGCGAACATGGGTCCAGCCGCGACCTCTTACCAACCACCGAGTCGTAGCGCCAACCATCCCTAAGCTCCAGCGCCAACCATGAGCGCCAACCATCCCAGCTTCGAGCTCATTTTTCGTTTGCTCTCGTGTCCGCATCCACAACCTTGACTTTTGCAAACTTTGTGGTTTTGCATCGTGCAAAATCTCACATTCTGCTTCACCGCGGCAGACCAAGCGACTGGCGCCACCATGGCAGGTGCGGCAATCGCGTGGGCCCTGACACAGCGCACAAGGAGCTTGCGGTACCACACTGGCCCCCATATGCAACACGGTACTGAAGTCAAGAATTCTTGATCGATCATGCCAAGGACAACGAACCTTAAAGCCACGGCCAACTCAGGCGTGTTGGCTAGTCATAGCCATTTCTGTCTCGTTTATGTTGCGTCTCTGATCCAACTTTGCCGCGAGTCCGAACGATTGCGAGAAGACTCTGTTCCGTCGGGCTCGCGCAGCGAGATATGCGCTACCGTGACGGTTTCAAAAAATATATCTTGTTCACTGCCAGGCCTTCCTTGATGTAGCGTGCTTGACAGCTCAACGCCACAACAACCAAGCTCGTTAGTTTATCTCTAGCTACGGATGCCAACCCCGTAGGCTTGGAAATTCGCGTTACCAGGGCCGGGCAACGATCGACACGCACAGGCCGGAGACGTTGATCGCAAATGATTTCTGTGGTCAGCTCCATGTGGGCGATGAAACGAACTCTGTGACGTTAAGGTCACTTTGCATTTGCAACGAACGGATCGCAGGCCGCAACGCAGACCATGTTTGCCCGAACTGTCACCTCGTCGACGCAAGTGTCCGTGGTCCAGCCACCCGGACGCCAACGAGTTGGCAAAGGCAAGCCCAAGGCCAAGCTCAGTCAACAGCGGTACCGTACGCAGAAGCGGCAGCAGCTTGAACGCCTCGAGCACGACGTCCAGCAGCTCCAGCGGCACA